GTCAATTGAATGTTTTACAAGAAAACGTTTGTGCGGATTCCTTCGAAAACTTTGAGGCTTCGTACTAAGTAGAAAATTCACTGCAATATTTGCACAAAAATTCGCGCAACCGTTTTCGTGTAAAAAAGTAGATTACCCAATTAAGTTTGGCAGTAACTGATGTGGTCCGGTTCCTTTCTGCTTAACACAGTCCATTCAACGGTCGAGCCAAGGGGTGTTAATCCACCTTACCGCGGTGTTAAGCATAATTTTCGCGGAGGGCTCTCTTGTAAAGGGAGAAGAAAAGAAAAAGGCGCACGAGTACCGCCCACCGGTAACCTGCGGAAGTGGACAAGTGATATGCCAATTGAGCGGGGCGTCGAACGGGGAACGGGGTTCCGGCGAGTCAAGTGAGCGGCGCGCGGCATGCGGCGAACAGCAGGTCCACTTCCGGCTCAGCCCGGGGGCGCAGCCGCGACTCAAGACTTGGGGAGGGTCAGCACCACCCCGCCCCCTCCTCCTCGATTAGACGTATCGGGACCGAAAAAACGCGCCCACTTAAGGAAAAAAATATTGTCACAGATGCGCCGTACCGGCAGAAAGCGGGTTAATGGCGCGGTTGCCGATCCAGTAGCTAAAATTATCTTTTTCCAGACGGAGCGATGTAATTTCATTTCGAGGTTGCACAATTTACGCGAATAATTCAGCTTTCAATACTACCATGCCAAGAAAAAACGCCGTATGGACATTCGAGAGTGGCCAAATTTCTCTGGAGAGGGCATGCATTTTTTTAAGGAAAGTTATATATATATATATATTTCCGTAAAATTTTCAGACATTTTAGATGAAATTGCAAACAACATTATCTAAAAATTTGAAAACAAATATTTAAAATTTGTTCGGTAACTTCGATTTTTCATTAAGGAAATCTGGCAACGCCTGAAGGCTCATACGGCGTTTTTCCTTAGCACGGCAGAATAGAAGGAGGGCTGTGCAACACCTGGCCAAGATTGTGCCGATTTTGCGAGTTATTAGATGGAAAATCAGTGAAATTATCACTTAAAAAGTGGTCGTAGTAAGAATACAATTTATATGTAGAAGGGATTTTGGGGCGTTGACTTGTAGCTCCGTTCATTTTTCTGATGAACGAAAAATGAATTAAAAACCAATTCATTAGCTTAGATCCAAATGATCATAACGCTCATAACTTATTTTTTCGGAAACAATTGAGTTATTTGCAATTAAAAGAGAGTCAGAAGGGTCTCTAGAGTAAATTTAAGTAAAGAGAGTAAGCAGGGCCGGATTTACCTACTTGCCGCCCATGGGCCGCCTGTATTTTGCCGCCCCTTTTCATTCGTTTTGAAACAACAATAAAAACCATCAAGTGAACGTGCCATCGGGGGAGGGGTGCATAAGACGCGTTTACTCGTGTTGAACACAGTTTTTGAGAAAGCCCTGTCAACACTACTAGCAAAAATTCACCGAATTTTGCGCGAACGTTAAGTTTCGTAAACCTGTTTCTGCGTGGACAAGGCCTTCCATTCATAAGAAATGAACAAAAAAATTATGAAAGAACAAACATAAATGTGGTTTAATGATTTTAACTTTCGCCGCCGGGCCGCGCAGATCGTACCGTGTTTGGAGGAATGCGTGAAGTATTCCGACAGTTTCGTAGGGGCTATGAGTTTCACGCCGACGACCGCTGCTGAACGCACTGTGTTTGACGCAATGCATGAAGTATTCACGCAGTCTTGTAGGTGCTATCCGTTTCACGCTGACCGCAGTTACCGCACTGTGTTTGATGCAATGCGTGAAGTATTCGTGCAGTCTTGTAGGAATGTAGGCGCTAATATGTGTTACATGCCGACCGAGGGCTTCTCCTTTTCATCTCAAGTTCTCGTCATCATTTTTCTCTCAGTCACGCCGTTCCTGGCCAAATTGCGTGTTTGGTCTCTCTCATAACTCGATTAATGAAAGGTGCTATCTCTTGTGTCACCGAAAGACGACAAAATTAGAAATTAACGTACTCTCAGGAAATGAGAGATTTTGTTTGTAATTTTTTTCTAAATCCGATTCTTTTTATACCTACATTTAAAAAAAATTGCAAAATTTGCCGCCTCCTAGATTTGCCGCCATGGGCGGGCCCATGTGGCCACCCCCTTAATCCGACGCTGAGAGTAAGTCCAACCCTCGATAGGAATTGCAAGAAAAATAATACTTGAAGTAGGGGGCTAACCCCCTGAGGTGCTTTGCACCTCCAGCGTTATGCGTGTAACTATCATGATTGTATGATATGAACTGTTAAAACTTCTTAAGGTCGCGATCATCCGCAAGAAACGGAACAAAAAGACCTTGAGCTCTCGTGTGAGGGGATGATTTGAAGGGTAGGTCGCGGAGGCACGCCCATTTCCTACCCGACAAGTGAAACACTCGAAAGGCTGGATTCGTATGAAGAGAAATACACGTCGCAGCATCAACTCTGTCCTAAAATAACACTTGAGATCCTGCTAACGTCAAGAGCCAAACAAGCTAGTTACACGTTTAAAGAGTCGGCATGAATCGCAGTCCCTCTTCCTATCGATGTTTCTTTCCAAGTGCTCGCCGAGATAGAGATCGAGCTCGACACCACTAATTTGTAACTTGTTAAAAAGCAGAGCCGCACGTCTTTTGTTATGCGATGGATTAGGGGTGGGCAAGAGGGAATGACTATTCTGCCGTGTTAAGGAAAAACGCCGTATGTACCTTAATGCGTTGCCAAATTTCCTTTGATAAAACACGAATTTCCTGCTAACCTTATGAATATTTGTCCTCTAATTTTACAGATATTTTTTCTTGCAATTTCAACAAGCTCGGGACCAAAACAAAAACAAGTGAGTTGCTACCAAATTCGTGCTGATCAAAGTTATGCAGGGCCGGATTAAGGGGGTGGCCATATGGGCCGCGGCCCATGGCGGCAAATCTAGGGGGCGGAAAATTCTGCAATTTTTTTAAATGTAGGTATAAAAGAAATCGGATTTAGAAGAAAAAAAAATTACAGACGAGAAAAGGCTACAAAATCTCTCATTTCCTGAGTGTATAGTAATATCTAATTTTGTCGTCTTCCAGTGATACAAGAGACAGCACCTCTAATTAGTTGAGTTAAGAGAGAAACCAAACACACAATTTGGCCTGGAACGGTGCGACTTAGGGAGAAATGATAACGAGGACTTGATATGAAAAGGAGAAGCCCTCGGCGCGGCAATCGACATGTAACACATATTAGAGCCTACAAGACTGCACGAATACTTCACGCATTGCATCAACCACAGTGCGGTTACTGTGGTCAGCGTGAAACGGATAGCGCCTACAAGAATGCATGAATACTTCACGCATTGCGCCAAACACAACGCGGTCAGCGTGGAACGCATAGCGCCTACAAGACTGCGTGAATACTTCACGCATTGCGCTAAACACGATGCAGTCGGCGCGGCGGCGGAAGTTAAAATCATTAAACCAAATTTTGTGTTTGTTCTTTCATAATTTTTTCGTTCATTTCTTATGAATGGAATACCTTGTCCTTTAGAGATATGTTTACGAAATTTGACTTTCGCGCAAAGTTCCGTGACCTTTTGCTAGTAGTGTTGACAGGGCTTTCTCAAAAACTGTGTTCAACACGAGTAAACGCGTCTTATGCACCCCTCCCCCGATGGCACGTTCACTTGATGGTTTTTATTGATGTTTCAAAACGAATGAGAAGGGGGCGGCAAAATACAGGCGGCCCATGGGCGGCAAGTAGGAAAATCCGGCCCTGAAGTTATGTTGAATTTATGTCATCTTTTCGTTGTGAAAAGTAGCAATATTCCTCAAGATTTGAAGCTCTGATAACTGAAAAATCAAGGGGAGGGGAGGAAGGGATTGTCTTATATAGCTTCCACTATTTTTAGGGCAAGTCCACAGTTTGAACAAGTCGCGTAGAACAATTTGCACCCCTGCGCCTGATGGCCCCCCTTAAGATTCTAAAAATGTTGGAAAACTTTTGCAGGATAAACTTTCAGTCTCAGTAGTCTTCTCATTACGCATACTGGCGCCAAACGAAAAGTTGCGCGAACTTTCTCAGGATTTTTGTGTTTTTTATGAATGGGAGAATTACGTGACGCACGTTACACTAACCTTCCCCCTCCTTGTAACGCAGCGTAACGCAGGCTCACTCTCCAAGTTACGTAATGTATGAGCGCTCCCTTTCACGTAATTTTCGGAAGGCTCCTGAAAAGTAGAGTACCTTTATAGAGAGTGTATGGACAACTCGAAAATTTGGAAGTTAGGTTTGATCAGATCATGTAGCTCTTGGGGCCCAAAAGGGCAGCCAACCTATGAACTCAAATTATCCAGTGGTACTAATTTTCACATTTCACTTATTTACGCTGATCAAAAATTAGAAAAGGACGCATAAAACTTTGATTTCGCTTACATTTTCTCAGTTTCAAAGTTTTATTTCTTAATGACACTTGCTTGTAATGTGCTGTCGGCCATATTGAGTGATCTTCCAAATGCATGAGTTGGCGGCGGCACTTTCCTGGTGATTTTCGTTTTTCAGGTTGTCGCCCTTTTGGGCCCTAAGAGGTACATAAATCGCGAGTTAATACTCTCCCTATAAAGGTACATACATATAAGTCGCTTTACAGCACTCCCTCGCGCTCTACGACTCCTAACCTCCACTGCTCTCTTTCAAACCACAAATCTTGGGGCATTGAGCACCTTATCATTTTCGCTTCAATCCCCTCCCTCCGACCTTTCATTGGGCGCCCTCTGCGTCTTCCCAGGAGGAACCCAATCAAGGACCTTCTTCGGCAACCTGTCTCCTGCCATTCTCTGGACATGACCATCCCAAATGAGTTGTCTTGTCATAATGTCATGCACGATGGTCTGCTTGGCATCCATGATCTCCCGTACCGTCTCATTCCTGTAAAGGTGCTTTACTGAAAAGAGGACTTGTTCCAGGACGTGAAGATCAGCTTCGACTAGTGGTAGGATAGTGGTATTACCTGGCAGCTTGGAAATGGCGTGTGTCCCGAATGATACGTGGAGGAGACGTTGAAGAGCATTTCCGTCTTAAGGGGATCCCGGCGAGGCCGCGCCCGCGGGAAAAGCGAGGACACCACCGCCTCTGCGTCAGCTGCGGCGCGCGCCTGATTTCCCGCGCCGGTTCATCCTCACACACACCACTGCAACACACAGAAAACACGGGCAATCATAACGCTATTTACCATGGTGATAATGGAGTCCATCAAGGATCCAGGGGACGAGGAACACCCGTATTCTGCCGTGCTAAAGCAAAACGCCGTATGAGCCTTCAGGCGTTGCCAAATTTCCTTTACTAAAAACCGAATCTACCGGAAAAATTTTGAAATTTTTCTCGAATTTTTCGATTTTGTTCGTAATTTGATGTGACACATCGAGGGTGAAACTACCAGAACACGTAACTCGGTTTGCGACGTTGCAGACTTCCTGTCATATTTTAATTTGTAAATGGGTAACTACTCTACTTCAATTCTTGAAAACTTCCGTGATTTTTCTTCTCAGTGTGAGACAAATTTTGTGAAAACTCCAAGGAATGATACTTAACTGGACTGCATTTTTCAATTTGGAACTATAAATATTGGCTCTTCTGGAAAAACACTTATGTGCATAGGGAAACCAATAGCACAAACGTTGTTTTTAAACCGGGCTAGAATTTTTAGTTCCAAATTGCAAAATGTAGTCCAATTGTTCTCTCTTAAAAGAATAAAACGAGAGCGGAGATTTTTAGACACCGCAAACGAGATACGTGGTCCGGTAGTCTCACCGTCGTTATCTGAAAATTTCACGGAAAAATAAGCATAACTGTCCTGAAAAATGCATGTTTCCTTCGGAAAAATTTGGCAACTCTAGAATGCTCATATGGCGTTTTTCCGTAGCACGGCAGTATAGAGGTACCTTTCTGGCCATCCAACAGAAATCTTCCTGTCCTGGTCTGGTATTCCTTTAAATTATTTTTTTCAAAAGGGTCGGTATTGCGCTGGTCACGGAAGCATATTGTGATGTTTGATCCTTGTAGATCAGCTAAAAAGAAAACGATTCGTCAAAACAGCAACTTTCTACGTTCAATATTAACACAGGTATCGCGCTTTGAAAAATTCGGTTCATGACGTCATCCACCGCGAGAGTGACATCCTTGGTTTCTTCTTCCTCGCTTTCGTCCGAGCTTCACGTTGAGCAATCAGTGCAAATGTGCTTCTCGCTGATTGATAAAATCAACGTGCATGGTAGAAACCAAGGGTGTCACTACCGTGGTGGATGACGTCATAAACCAAAGTTTTCAGAGCGCTATATCTTGGTAAATATTAAACGTAAAAAGTTGCTGTTGGGACAAATCTCATTATTTTAAGCTGATCAACGAGAATCAAGCATTAAAACACGATTCTGGGACCAGCGCAACTGACCAACTGATTTTGAAAAATCTTCTGCGTTCTTCACCTTAAAACCTGTAAAATTTGAGATCTGATTTTTGGCCCAAAACGGTGGTTAGGAGGGGTCGTTTCGGGCGCTCCTTCGGTGGACCGCGACGTCATCCGGGCTGCGATCTGCGGCCGGAATGAAAACAGAAAACAAAAAACAAAAGAAGGAGAACAAAAGGAAAGATGGAAACGCGGGCGATCCCATCCACGCGGGCGAGTGAGGAGAAGAGGAGAAACGAAAACAATAACAAGAGCGGGCAACGATAAACAATGCACGGATGCACCGCTACGCGTTGGAGCGTCCCGGCTCTGCGGGCGTGCGGGCGCTCGCGGTGGCGACGGACAAATTGTTTGCACAGCCCGGTAATTTGATCTAATTAGGTTATGTTTCGTCCAAGTCGGGCCGAACCGAGCGCAGCGGACAGCGCCCACCTCTCCGACCAAATGCCACGCATCCCAGTTGCCAGGTGAAGTCCTCGCCCATGGAAGTGTCTGGCTGTCGAGCCAATAAATCAGGAGAAGCTGGATTAGCATGAGAGACTGGAGGGTGTAGTGCACCAAGAGAAACACATCGGATGATTGAAATCAAAGGTGCAGAAGAACAAACCGAGGTCTTAGTTCTATGAGCGAAATAACTTCCGTGAACATGGAGCACCGGAGATAGGGGGGGGGGTGGTTACCCTCTAGCTGCTACGTGGTTCGACCCCCAAGGGGCGTTCCGTGCCCTAAAAGCTCGCTGCCTCCGTGAGTTAACCGGAAGAGGTGCCAGGGTGGCTCATCTAGGAACTATCCATCGCCACGGTCGCCCAATCATGTTAATCGGTCCGGTGCATCTTTAGAACGAACTGTGGCGAAAGTTGAACCTTAACATTGTTTAAATGGGAGAGTTCACAACTTCATCACATAATATAATAAAATCTGTTCATTTCTTGTCAGAAAAAATGGAATTTGCGGGGTTTAAATTTGAAATTTCACTAAATTATCTTAGTGTGCGTATCAAGACGATAGAGGCATAAAACATAGCCTTCAAATTGTGGAGTAGGCAAATAACCATCCCCGCATCGTGCAAGAGGGTCTAAGATGTTGATTTCCTCTTCGAAGTTCGTCTCTCTATATGGTTTGAAAGAATTCGCTGAATAATTTATCATGCAATTATTATGATTTTTAAAAGAGTGGGAGTTTTTTTTTCATTTGATGCAGACTAACATATTCACTTGAAGAATTCAAAATCTCAGCGCTCTATTTTAAAATTTACGGTTCCGGTTCCTAGGAATAACTGTCTGTTAAAATTTTCCAATTATCTCACACTAAAATCATAAACTTAGGTATCTACCGGGGGTTTTTCAAACGTATCGTATTCTTGACATTTTTGTGATGCTCCTCGGTGAGGGCTTAGATCGATCATTCTTTTAGCGGTATAGAAACACAAACCATATTTTTTGAGGCATTTTAGAAAGTCTTTGACTTAAAGTTAGGAGGAAAAACACAACAAGAGTGTTTTCCGGGCAGTTTTGATTTGACAACCTTGCTGTAATTTTCTAGAATGGCATGATAGACGTTGTGACGGTTGAACAGAAAAATAAGAAAGGAAAGGGGTGATGACATGAAATACTGCAGCCGTGCTACCAAAACGTATGATAAAAGAGGGAAAATATGTGTATAAGGGTACCATGAAGCCGTGCAGCGCCATGTTTCTCGGTGCTCCGGCATTGAACTTGGGAAGCTCGTGGTGGTACATACAATGATGCCGATACAAATGTGTGTGCTTTTAAATAGGGCCGCTTCGAGCACTGTCATTAATGAGTGATCTGATGTTTCGAGAACGTAGAATGGCCATTTTTTATCAATACTCGTCACTGCGAATGGACTCGGGGTCGCTTTAAAAACAATCCCTACATTTTTTAACTCTTTTTTAGGAATCTCCAAAAAAATTCCCAGACTCTTTTGATCGATTAATCTCCGATATAAATAAAATAAATATTTGACATACTCTAAATAGATAACTATGGTACATTGGTGATACTCGAACTTCTTCATTTTCGTAAACATCAAAAGAGATGGTTTTGAAACTTCGAACAAAACGTAGTCAACAAAACGACATTTCCTGTGATTATTTTTGAATGAGTGAAAAAAAACTTAGGTACAGAAAATTTTAGGAGAGATTGTTGATCGGTTTTTTTTCATGAGTAGATTCGTCACGCTGCATTTGAGAATATGCATGTTTCGACATCAACCAGTAGATATTCACATTCTAAAATTTTTATGGCTATGCAGAAAAATGAAAATTGAAAGAATAGTTTTTTTGTGTGTTTGGATGCCAATAAATGAACTGCGCAATGCAGGTCCCAATAAAGTATATTTTTTCTAGCGCACGTTTGATTTTCCTGACTTTCTCATCAGGACTGATTAAAATTTTCTGACATTTTACGACCTTTTCCGACACTTGGGCGTTACTTTCTTTCTTCGGATAGGCTTTAAATATATCAAAATATTATATTAAAAATCGCTGAAAAATTCCCTAAAAACCGAAAAAAATAGGTGAACAAAACACATATTGCATGGAGAGCAGTATTTAAATTCAGGCTCGGACCGCGGCCATAATACCAATCTGCCATTGGCAGATACGCTCCCTTGGCGCGCTGAAAACGCGCCCCTCTGACAGTTAGTAAAATAAGAGGAAAACAAAAATTACGACCGAGAATATATGCGGAAAATTTCTTAAATGAACGGAAGAAGAGAGAGTTAGGAGTAAATAAAGGTGCCGTCACGCATGATAAAGGTGAATAGAGGTCCAAGAACTACTTTTTGAGGCGTAAATACTTTTTTGTGAAATTTTCACCTTTTTGTCGACATACAGGCGCTTTATCATTCCCCTCCTTCATTCGCTATGTGTAACTTCCTTAGAAGCGATGGTCGATTTGATTTTTAGACACACGCACCCTTTATAGACCTTTTGAGAGACCTTTAAACACATTTCTTTCTTTTCAAAATGACTATTGATTTGGACATACCATAGCATATCTCGGGCAAACTTAACCTTCATTCATCTCGAAATTAAAAAATAAGAGGCATCGAAAGTGTAAACGCGATACGACGATTCGTGCAAGACGGATGTCCACATTGCATATGAAAAATGTAAGACGCGATGGCGTAAGTCGTGAACTTGCAATGCTCTGCTCTATGCTACTAGTTTGAAGCACCATAACGAATAAGACAGACACAAACAAATATAATATGGAAATAAAGCGAGGGAAAGAATGCACGTTTACGACGGCGCAGAGATACAACTATTCGTACTTGATGGACGTCCGTGCTGCATCTGAAAAATTGAAGGCGCGATGACGCGAAGCGTGAGCTCTTAATACTCTGCTATACGCTGTCAATAAGGTGTCGCTCGGATTTGGAAGAAAAGTTAAAACGAGGCCCGAACACATCTATCCTACCTTCGGCTGTGTTATTCACGTCGTGTTTGAAGCACCATTACGAATAAGACAGACGCAAACAAATATAATATGGAAATAAAGCGAGGGAAAGAATGCACGTTTACGACGGCGCAGTGATACAACTATTCGTACTTGATGGACGTCCGTGCTGCATCTGAAAAATTGAAGGCGCGATGACGCGAAGTGTGAGCTCTTAATACTCTGCTATACGCTGTCAATGAGGTGTCGCTCGGATTTGGAAGAAAAGTTAAAACGAGGCCCGAACACATCTATCCTACCTTCGGCTAAGTTGATACTCGTTCTTTCTTCGTTGTTCAGGTTCTTTTGATGTGATTCTCTTTTAGGATGGATTTGCAAACTCACGTCTTAATCTTGTGTAAACCGCAGCACTGGCTCGGTCCTTGTGGAAATAATGGTGCTTGGATGCGTCTAGTGGCTTTAATTTGTTATGTTTTTTTTTAATTTCAGAAGTCTGTCGGTTACTTCGATACGTTCAATTTTGCGATTTTCACTCTGTACAATTAATAAACTTTGAACCTGTAAATAGCGTAAACTTGTGCTGCTTTGCCAAAATTCTCTGAACCCCTCTCCACGTAGGGGATGCCCTACCTGCAGAAATGTCAAATTACGCCCCTTTAACGAGCCAGTGGTCTACGCCCTTAAATGCGAGCCAGTTCTACCCTGCTAGAATTTCTTATCTACATGAGTTAATACTCTTGATTTTGGTTGAACTTCCTCAACTTTCATTACCTATTTTGCTAGTCACTGGGTAAAATGAAATCAGTGCAAGAAAATGTACGGAAGGAAATATGTGGTTATGGTAACCAATAATTAGTCATAGACAAATCTACAAGACAAATTTCTTGTCGAATTGGTTAGAATGAGTGTAAAATAGTACACTGTTGGTTGACAGTAGTCATTTGATACGATGTTCAAAGCGAGTGAACGTGACTACAATACAGCAAGCAACTATTACTGCTCTTAAGCCGCTTAAATTGCCTACTTTTGTATTGAAGGCGAACTGGTAAATGGTAAGACTGACTGCGCAACGATGATGCATTGCTAAAGACTTGGACTTCACTTTGTAATTCGGAACTACAATTTCTGGCTTATACGTGAAACCACTTGGGTACGTGAACAGGGGTGCATTTATGTCGTTCACTGGAAAAAAAAAAAAATCGCTTTAATCTAGAGTCCAAACTCTTGAAAACAATGACAAGAAAAAATTCTCTTGATTCAATCGGATTTTTGCTTGAATCAAAAAGAAATCCGCTTAAATAATGAGGATTGATTCTCGATTCAAGCAAAAATCCGATTGAATTAAGAGTACTTTTTCTTGTCATTGTTTCTAAGAGTCTGGACTCTAGATCCAAGCGACTTTTTTTCCAGTGTTTCTAGGCTGACCCAGAAATTGTGGTTCCTAATTACAAAATTAATCCAGTTGACAGGAGCACATTAAAAAAATAATGTTTAATGGGTATGAACGTAAGGTTACATTAAGCTTGACCAATGTTTGTGTATTTACATAATTCTCGTTTCTGATCTCATAAGCTTGACGGCTAACGGGGTACAGCAATCGCTCCTTATAATTCTGATACAGAAAATGCCGATAGGTCACCATAGAAGGCGTTTGCTTGCTAACTTGGATAACAAATTCATCATTAATATATGACAATTTCTAGGTATGCAAATGTCGTTTCACGGTGGATTTTTTTTTTCATTTATTTGTTTCAGGAACGATTTTGAGAGTTATCCGATACAGTCACCTTAGGGGCAGATAGTTTCCCGGTTAACTGTAAAAAAGTCATCCGTTCAAGTCACCTTGGCGATAAAAAGTTCTCCGGTTATCAGCAGAAAAATCACCCGGTAAGACCACCTTTGCGGTGCTCAGATGATTTTCTGGTTATAAGAATACGGTACGGACGAATAAAGTTTTATTTGAAGGTACGGTATTGACAAAATAAAATAAATCCACCCCTGGGATAATTTTTTTTTTTTCCAAATACTGAAATGGATTATGGGATAGCAAACCTCCTCCGGATCCTGTGTTTGCTACCTGATTTTCTTTTCAACGAAAAGAAACTGCTTATTTTTACAATACGCCTTCAGGGAAAAAAAATTCACGGTTCTGTAACCACTTTCTGCTCATTTCAATAATCTGACACTTTAAATATTGCAGGGTGGTGGCCAAAAACAGCGGCCCTTCAAAAAGCTTAATAATCAGACGACATCTCTTCTAACCAATAAAGGCATTCCGATACATAAATTTTTTGTTTTGCAGTGAATTACATGATATTCGTTGATAGAATGCCTGCGATTTCCTCAGAGGATATCAATGTGTAATGTCCGTTCCACTTTGTTCCGAACACTCTGGTAGGCACAAATCAACGGTAAAACTACGAGCATGTGTAGGTACCTCGTCTGTGTTGTTAAAAATTTTAAGTATACATTTTTATAAATTTATTTTTATTTGTTTAATTTTTTGAAATTTGTATTTATTACTAATTGAATGACTGTCTACAAGAGGCTTGGAATCTTAATACCCGAAAAAAAAATTTCCGGATGGCAAGTTTGGATGTTTTTATTCAGGTTTTGACCGATGTTTGATTAAATAGTTTGATCTGAAACATCGGAAAGTTATTAAATTAAAACTATTTGCTCATTACCCGCCAAAGTGCGATTTCGACGATAGCGCTGACCGCGAAGCGGCTTTTAAGGACCTGCGGAGCGGGCCTTCGGAGCGTGCAACGCCCCGGGGGTTGAGTCGCGTAGCGACCAGGGGGCGAACTCCCTATAATAAACTATAAGAATGAAATATTATAGACACGTTTTTTAAAGAGTACCAAAAAATAATTTAAGTGGCGTTTTTGCTGTTTGAAGAAAAACGCGTTTATATTAAGAAATGAACATTATAATCTCAAGCTCTTGGCAAAAAAATGAGCCACGGAGATATATTTTCTAGTTTCTTAGCTGTAACCGAAAATATCTAATTTTTTCATAAATGTCGCTCATCTCTATCAACAATGCTTTTAATTTACAACGTTTGGAGTCGGTATTCTTTGAGCTTCTATAAAATCTGAAGTTGAATTTCTGCGAGGAAAAATATTGGGATCAACTTTTAAGACGCGTACAGCTTTAATTGCACTATTATTTACATGCTTTAATCATCAAATGGAAAACTAATCCACGGCAGCTCCTGAAAATTTTCGTGATTTTTCGTAGCTTCTTTCGCTTCTTTCCCTCCGAGCACCGAGGTTATTGGTTTTCCAATTTCCCAGCCAAAAATGAGAGGAAAAGTTTTGTATATCTCTGCAACTGTGCCATTTCAGAGGTTACAGAATTTAATGTAAGTATACGGGAAATTAGCGAAAATTTTATCTAGGAATAATTTAATATCATGTGACGCCAGAGAAAATTTCAAGTAATGGCAATAAAAGATGCACATGTGATGAGGTATTTACCTGTAATTATCTTCTCTGGTCGCTTGTTTTTGATAATCCAAACACACGCAACAAAAAACAGGGGTGTTACACCCTTTTTAGATTTCACACCGAATCAGAATAAAGATAATTCAATCGCCCGATCTCGTTATTCACAAAATAGCACTTAATTCCGTATGATCACCCGCGAAAACCTTAAAATTGCACTCCGCGTAGGATAGGACGAAAAATTGGCAAAAAGCAAATAAAAAATAGGAAGACAATTCAAAGTGAGCAAGGGATAAGGGAATGTTTAGGAGGAATACGTCACGATTCTAGGGGTACTTTACGGTTTGAGTAGGGAATAACACTATACCTCAACGGGGAAAAACACACACAATTTTTGAGAAAAATCAATGAAAAAATCTATAAACTGGCACTCATTTCAGGAAGGTGAATGTAGCGAGGTGATAAATTGGCAATCACATTTTAAGAGTGAGGCATTCCACCAAAATTAGACGCGGAACCACAACACCGCACCAAAACAAAAAAAACACACACTAGACGGACCAAGTACAATATCCGCAAAATCCGGAAACCGAAATTGGCGACAACCGGTCTACCAAAGGCTATCGAACGCAAGGCACGAGAATCCCGGCTGATCGATCGTTAACAAGTTGAAATTCTATTAATTAGTCGGAATCTGCGAGGGACACGTGACCTACGGTGCGAATCGCGGGACGGGTAAAAATAGAGCTGGTGGGATTTGCGAAGCGAACTGGTTGCGGCGCGAGCTCGGATGACAGAACCCCCATGGCGCGACGGGCGCTGCGTCACTGCTGGGAGTCCGGAGCCAGTGTGCCCGGCCGCCGGTGACAATTTATCGTACGCCCCGATACGGTTTTCGTACGCAGCCAGCAGCGCTCCACGGCTCCCGCTCCCAGCTTCGCGATACGGTGACGGTGCCGTCGATCGAGTGGTATTTTGCTACAGGACATCATGTCGAGATCCAGGATGGTTTTTGGAGCTCTCTGATAACCTTGTGATCGGAGGTCCAAGGATTATCTCTTAATTCAGGGATTTCAGGGACGGACCATAGAAAAAAAAAGGAGGTGCGTTTGCATTTCGGGCATCTTGGAATTTTTTGATGACTTGATGACGTAGGTGGGTACAGCGACGTCCCCTTCACGCTAAACGTCGCTGTACCCACCTACGTCATCAAGTCATCAAAAAATTCCAAGATGCCCGAAATGCAAACCCCTCTTTTTTTTCTCTATGGGGACGGACTGGCTAGGGAGGCTAGGAGGCGAACCTTGAGAAATCTCCTGGCGTGTCAGCTCGCTGGTGGATACGAAAGAGCCTCGCCAAGTTTAGCCCCTTTTTTTTTATACCCGAGTTGGTCAATCGGACGGTGCTCAAATGAAGGCCTATGGTAAGGCAAACTTCCATGCAAAGTTTCAACTTGAAGTGACCCCTCGTTTAGGCTGTACAGCGTTGCCAATTTTCCAGTTTCATGTGCCAAAATCAAGGATATTGGACTATTAGTTCGGTGCATAAGTAGACTAGTACACCCGAGTTGGTCAACGGAACAAGGCCTAAACGAAAGCTTATGGTAAGGCAAACTTCCAGGAAAAGTTTCAACTTGAAGTGACCCCTGGTTTAGGCTGTACAGCGTTGCCAATTTTCCATTTTTATGCGCGATACTCAAGGAATACTGGATTCATCATGGTTGAACAGACTAGTATACCCGAGTTGGTCAACGAGACAAGGCTCAAACGAAACCTTATGATAAGGCAAACTTCCATGCAAAGTTTCAATTTGAAGTGAAACCTCGTTTAGGCTGTACAGCGTTGCCAATTTT